GGGGGGCCGGGGAGCAGCCGGCTCAACCTGGTGCGGATGTCATCCGCCCGCTCCAGCGGCAGCGACTCGGATCGCTCCGGCTTCCTGCGGCAGCTCACCTTCATCAAGGAATCCTCCAGCCTGCTGCTGCGGCACCGCGCCGAGCTCTCCCCGGCCACCTCGGTGGCCTCGCTGGCCCGCGGCGCCTCCCCGCAGCGCAGCCGGGCCGCCCTCCCTGCCGTCTTCCTCTGCTCGTCCCGCTGCGAGGAGCTGAAGGCGGCCAAGCCAGCGGCACCCTGGACCGCGGCCGCAGGTCCCCAGGGCGCAGCCCGGCTGCAAAGCCCCCCCCGGGCCCAAGCCCCCGCGCAGGACCAGCTCCGAGAGCCCGTCGCGGCTGCCGGTGAAGACGGGCGTCCCCGAGCCCTTCAAGAGGTACTCGTCCTCGCCCAACATCAGCGTGGCGCGCAGGACCAGCAGCCCGTCCTCCGTCCTCTCCGCCTGCTCCGAGGCCTCGGCGCGGCGGCGGAAGGCCGGCGAGGGGCCCGGGGGGACAACGGAGAAGCCCCCGATGATGATGATGAAGGGCACCTGGCGCCGCATCCGGGACGAGGACATCCCGCACATCCTCAAGAGCACGCTGCCGTCCTCTGCCCTGCCGCTGGTGAGCGCCGGGAGGAGCAGCGCCCCGGCCCCAGGAAGACCAGCGACGCCGTGGTGCAGACCGAGGACTTCTCCACCACCAAGACCAACTCCAGCACCTCGCCCACGCTGGAGAGCCGCGAGGGACCCCAGCGTGCCCACAACACCGAAGCCCCGGCCCCCGCCAAGGCCTGCCGTGCCCATCTCCTTCGGCCACGAGGTGCCGGCCTGGGACCTTCCCCGCCAGCCGGCACGGTTCCCCGAGCCGCGCCGCCCGCGTCACCCCCTTCAACTACGTCCCCAGCCCCATGGTGGTGACGGCGGTGGCCGACAAGGCGGTGGAGAAGATCCAGGCGTAGGCAGCCGCTGCGGGTGGAGCCTCGGCACGGTCCTGCGCCGGGGCAGGATGGACCCCGTGGAGCCGCAGCGCCGACACCCACCCATGGGTGCTGCTGCCCGTGGGGACGGAGACATGGGACAAGTGGAGAGCAGCGAGTGTCACCCCTGGCCCTCCCAGCTGTGGGTTTTATTCCAACGCAGCCTCCACGGGATCCTCCGCTGAAGACCTGGCAAAGCCTGGGGGACCCATGGGTGGGGGGCTGGAGCTGATGGCTGCGCTCGGGCGCTTCTCGGTGCTGTCTCCTCCATCCCGATGGGTGCCCGGCGTGCTGCAGCCCCGGGGTGAGCGGGGGGCCACGTCCCCCACCCCGCACACGCACCCCGGGAGCCCACCAAGCCAAGCCTTAATGCCAGGCCCCCGCCGCACGCTTCTGCTCGCACACCAGCACCGGCTCTGCCAGGCATCGCAGCGCCTTTATTGCCAGGGACGGGGCCATCCTCCCCTGCAGGAGCACTGCTGGGGCAACGCAGGGACAGACAGGGCTGGGACGTCATTTTTGCTGCTTCAGGCTGCTAATTAGGGTGCTGGCTGATTGCTATCGGGTGACTCGCAGCTGTGGTGCAGGCAAGGGTTGTGGCAGTGCGGTGGGTGGGCGCAGGGGACGCAGCGCAGGGGCTGGTGCTGGCGATGCTCAGGGCTGGGTGCTTGTTGGGGTCCCAGATGGCTCGTCCTGGGGGGCTCCTGGGGTCCTGTCACCAGGCTGGGGGGTGCCCTGGGAGGGGACGGGGTGCTGAGGCGGCACTGGGACACCCAGCCCCAAGGGAAGGGTCTGGGCCCCCCCCCGAAGCCCCCAGCCCCCTGGCATGGCTGGCAGCGAGGAGCCCGCGCGTCCCCACCTCGTGGACACGAGTCCATCCAGAACTGGATTACGCCCACGAGCCAGGGGCTACCAGCCCCAAAGCACTGGGGACGCCCATATCCTGCTGCCAGCCAGCCCCGTGCACCCAGGGGTGGGCTGTGGTGAGCCCACCCCCCAGTCTGGGAGCCCCCCCAGCCCCCCCAGCCCTCCCACCCCACCGCCCACTCATGCCTTTGGACGGGGTGCCCAGCAAGATGTGGGGTCCCACGGGGGTCCCTGGCGTGCAGGGAGAGGTGAGCAGGCTGTGGGGCCGCACAGAGGGGTCTCAGGGATGGACACGGGGGGTGTGGGGGCCCCCATGGGGTCTACAACAAAAGGCACCGAGAAGGGCTGCAATAGGGGCGTGGGGACGGGCAGCAGGGCCACAGGAAGAGGCACCCACAGAAATGGGAGAAAATGGGGGGGCCGCAGTCCCCAGGGACACCCCCGTCCCCCCCCCCCGACTGCCATCACCACGCGCAGCACCCCCGTGTGGGGACACCAGCACCACCCCACGGCTCCGGGTTCAAGTGCCACCGTCCCGGCCCCGCTCTCCCCCGTCCACCCCGTGTGCGCCCCTCGGCTTCGTCCCCGCGTGCGCAGAACCGCGCTGGGTTTGCGGTGTCTCCCCTGTCCCCCCTGTTCCTCCCCCCCCCCCAGCTGTATGTATGTACCAAGGATGTAATTTTACCAGGACTCCGGACAGTATTAAAAATTAAAATCAAACCCGTGTCCGAGGGCAGCTCCGGCCGTGCCGCACAGCCGCGGCGCAGCGTCCGCTGGATCCACTTCTTGTGCCCCACCGCCGAGGTGGCCACCGGCGGCTTCAGGGGGTCTCCGGGGTTGGGGCTGCTGAAGGACATCACCCCCGCCACTGCCGCTGGCTTCCCGCACACCAAGGGGCTCCCGGAGTCACCCTGGGTGGAGGTGGCAGTGGGGACCCGGCCTCCCGCAGCCCCCCAGGCGCCAAGGGGCGACGCTCGGCGTCCCCTCGCCCCTCACGCAAAGCCCCCCCGAGCCCCTCACCTTGGTGGGAGCGGCACCGCGGTGTCGTCCCCTGGAAGCAGATCATGGTGGGGGCTGATGTCCGCCGTTCCAGAAGCGGCTGTTGTTGCACATCCTGGCGTCCAGCACCGCCACCTCCAGCTCCTGCAGCGCGGCCGCCAGATCCCTGGGCCCTCCCCAGCCCGCCAGGCTGCACGCCGTGCCAGCCGCAGGTTCACGCCGCAGCAGCGCGATGGGGCGCCGTGTCTTGCTCCACGACACCCGCCCCGAAAGCTGCGGGTGGTTCGGCACCGGGTCACCCACCGGCTTTTGGGGCTGGGGGGCGGCACAGCCGGTGTCGCACCCGTGGGTGCGCGGAGACGTCACCGAGATGTGAAAGCGCAACGAGGTGAGGAGAGGAAATGGCACCCGGCTCGGCGCAGTGGGAAGCCCCACCGGCGGTGCTTCCTGGCACCAACCGTCCCTCGGGGACCCTCCCCAGCCCTGCAGCAGCCCCCCCGGCCAGGCACGAAGCCCACCTGGAGCAGGAGGAGGTCGTTCTCCATCGTCTTACAGGTCGTAGTTGGGGTGGGGGCAGGCTTGCCCGGATGGCGAAGCTCTGGGTGGCCGCCCCGCGGTCCTGGAGGTGATGCAGCCCCACCACCACCTTCACAGGGCCCTTGAGCCTGCGGAACCCATGGGACATCCACGTGGGTGTCCCACCAACCCCCCCCATCCCCCTATCCAGGGGGGGGACGCTCCCCACTCCCCTGCTCACCTCCGTAGGATGCAGTGCGCGGCCGTCAGCACCCAGCGCCGCTGCACCAGGGCTCCCCCGCAGATGTGGACCCCCCCAGACTGCAGCGACACCATGTAGGGCCGGGAGTGGGGCTTGGCCTCGTGCCCCCCGATAATCCCCAGCCGTGACCGGCCCCTGGGATGATGGGGGAAAGAGAGCTCCCAGTGCTGCTGCTGGGGAGCGGGGATAGCCGCTTCTCCATCTCCACCGATCCCTGTGGTGATGAGACCCCCCCAGCCCCCCCGTGGTGCTCACGCAGCCCACCCGAGGGCAGGGGCAGCAGCAGCAGCAGCAGCCCCAGGCTCGCCCTCGCCTCCATGCTGCTCCCAAGGGCTCCCCGTGCTCGTGGCAGAGGCGACGCGAGGCTCAGGTGCGTGGCGCCGAGCCGGGGCAGAGGAAGGCTCTGGTGATGTGCAAGGTGGGAGCAGCGCCGGCCCCCCGCTCTCACAGGAAGGGGGGGAAGCAGAGCGAGAGACTGAAGGTGTGAAAAAAACACCCACAGAGACACAGCCCCAACCGTCCCGTGGAGACAGCAGCGCCGTGCACCTAACCCTGCACCCTAGGGTGCCGGTGACCCCCGCTGCCACCCTGCCCCGGCAGCCCCGTCCCCATCCCCGCCGCTCAGCCGAGCCAAGGAAGCCACATCCACAGCTCTCCCAGAAAGGTTTTTAATGAGAATTTTGCCCGATTTGTGATCACCACAGCCCCAAGTGCACCCGGTGCAGCTCGGCACCCCGCTCCCACCACCGCACCCACCCTCACCTGCAGCCTAAAACCACCCCAAAGCTGCATGGTCGGACCCCAACCCGCAGCCCCCGGCTCCCCCCTCAGCTCGTGGCCTTGGGGACAGCCCCGGCTCGGGCCAGGCTCCTCAGCAGCCTCTGGAAGAAGAACTCGGTGTGGAACTCCAGCCGGTTGAGGTGCCGCAGCAAGAGGGGCACCTCGTCCCTCCTCACCCCAACGCACACCGGGATCACCCTGGTGCCGCCGCGCTGGACGAGGTGCTGCAGGCTCCACTCGGAGACGCGCCGGCACCACGGGTCCCCCAGGGCCTTGGTGGAGAGGATGAGGATGGCCACGCGGCTGGCACGGATGGCCTCGGCGGCGCTCTGCACTGCGCACGTCCCGGCCACCCGGTCCTGGTGCTCGGCGTAGCCCTGGAAGCCGTGCGCCCGCAGGAACTTGGCGATGCTGGAGGCGACGCCGTCGTCGGCGGGGCAGTACCAGATGGAGAAGTCGTAGGTGAAGCCGTGGTGTGCTGACATTTTTTTTTTTGGGGGGGTGGGGGGGGTACAGGCTGGCTCCCCCCACCGGGTTGGAAGCCCGCGGTGCCGCCGGCTGCTCCCCGGGTAAAGGTCAGGCACCGAGTCCTCGCGGAACCAAGCGCCGCCGGTGCCGTGGGCGCACCCCAAAGCGCTTGGAGACGTCCCGGGGGGGCCCAGCGAACGCCCCCGGGATGCAAACCCTCGCCTCCTCCTCCTCCTCCTCCTTGTCCCCGGGGGGGCTCAGAAGGCTTTCTGCCTCGTCTCGGCCATGTCCCGCTCCAGCGCCGCTCCCGCCCGCCGCAGCTCCTGGCACTTCTCCGCCAGCTGCCCGCGGGCCTCCCGCAGCCGCCGGTTCATCTCCACGTAGCCGCGGCTCTGCCGGTACAGCCGCTCCCGCTCCTCCTCCTCCGCCGCCTCCTGCCCTGGGGGGGGGGCTCAGCATAGGTGGGGGGGCAGCACTGGGGGTCTCCATCCCGCTGCCCCCCTCCTCAAAATGCCCCCCGGGGGGGGGGGTTCTCACCTGGCACGGGGCCATCGTGGTCACCGCCGGGGGTCCGGGGGGGTTCGGCGGGCAGCAGCAGGATGGGGTCGGCCGGGCGCGTGCCCCCCACGTCGGCCAGAACCTGCTCCACGGTGGGTGGCTCGGGGCGGGTGGGCAGCACCCGCTTGGCCTTGGAGGTCATGGCTGGGGGGGGGACCTAGGGGGGGGTTGGGGGGGGCAGGGGGATGATGGGGGGACAGACGGACAGCCTGCCCTACCCAGGACAGACAGGACACCCCTCCCCACCCTGGGGACAGACGGACACAGATTGGTGCCCTCCCCTCCTGACCCCCCCGGACAGACAGACAGACACCTCCCCTCCCCTCCCTATCAGACAGACAGCCCTGACCCCCCGGACAGACAGACAGACAGTTCCAGCAGGGCTGCCCCTGGCTCAGTTTAACCCCCCCCAGACAGACAGACCCCTCTGGACGGACACACGGACCTCCCCCCCCCCGGACAGACAGACAGACAGACAGCCGGCCCCTCCCCCCCCCCCGGACACACGGACCCGCTGGCCCCTCCGGGACGGAGCCCACCCCCTCCCCTCCCCACAGACGGACAGACAGACCCCCCCCCCCGGACAGACGGACAGACCCCCCCTCCTTCCCCTCCTTCCCCCCCCCCGCGCTCACCCCTCGCCCTCCTCGCGGCCGCCGTACCGCCACGCTCCTCCCCTCCCCCCTCCCCCACCCGTGACGTCATCACATAGGTCCCACCCCCCGTGACGTCATCACACATGTCCCGCCCCCAATGACGTCATCACACTAGCCCCTCCCCCCACTAACCCGCGGCGCCCCCCCCCGGCGGCGCAGGGAGGAGCAGGCGGCTTGGGGGGGGCGGGGAGGGGGTGGTTTATTGGGGGTTAGGGCACGGGGGGGGCACCGGGGGGAGGGGCTGGGGCTGGTGGGGTCCTGGTGCTACCCCAGAGCCCTCCCAGTGCCCTCCCAGTGCCATCCCACTATCATCCCAGTGCCGTTCCAGTACATCCCAGTATCGTCCCAGTATCGTCCCAGTGTCTCAGTCGCTCTTCGCGTCCCGCGCCAGCTTCACGGCTGCCCTGGAGGCTGTGGGGCAGAACCGGGGACCGGGTGAGGGCCACGAGAGACCCCAGGAGCCACAGCCCCCATGTGGGGGGGCGCACAGATTGGGCTGAGCCCGGGGGGCTTCACGTGGGGGGCTTCTAGAAGGGATGTGCGCTATGGGATGGCTCCGGGGGGGGCTTCAAGCAAGGATATGTGCTACGGGATGGCTCTATGGGGGCTGCGGGGGGGGGATATGTGCTACGGGATGGTTCCAGGGGGGGGTCTCCAAGCAGGGATGTGTCCATGCACTACAGGATGGCCCCTGGGGGGGGCTTTGTGGGGGGACACGCACTACGGGACGCCCCCCCGGGGGGCTTCTAGCAGGGACATGTACTATGGGATGGCTCCGCGGGTGCTGCACCCGCTCTATGTGGGGTCGGGGGCAGTTGTGCGCGACCCCCCCGCTGATTTCTGCAAGAGCAGGAGCTGGGGTCAGCGGGGGGGGGGCACACAGCGTTACGTACGGACAGGCTGAGCTGCGGGGCCACCTCGGCCGCCAGCCGGGCTCTGCTGCTGAGCAGCGTCTGCAGGACTGCACCGGGGGGCGCGGAGAGAAGAGAGAGGGTTACGGGGCTGGGGGGGCCACGGGGGGGCAAAGGGGGCTGCGAGGGGCGCAGCCTGCTCCTTGTGCTTGGGTTGGGGGGGGTCCCGGTGCAAAGGCAGAGCTGCCCGAAGCTCCTCGGGGCGAGGAGGTGCCCCAAAAAGGGGCAGGAGAATGGGAGGAGGATGGGGAGGGGGATAATGGAGGGCGGGGGGGACACGGGGATGCTCGGCCCCCCCCCCGCTACCTTCTCGGGTGACGGTGGAGGCCGCGTCCAGCGCCTTGGTGCTGAGGTCGCCGAGCACGGAGTCCACGGCCTGGTGGTGCTTGAGGAAGCAGGGCCGGATGACGCTGTGGTACAGCACCTGCGAGCCGTTCCAGGACACGGGGGCCATGCACCACACCAGGAACAGGCACTGCGAGGGGGGGGAGAAATGCAACAGGGCTGGGGGCGGGAGGGAGAGGCAGCCGCTGGGGTGCTCCGGTCCCGTCCTGCCCCAAATTGGAGCTCCTGGAAGCCCCAGGAGATCAACTGAGCTGTCCCGAAGCAGGACAGGGCCAGCTCGGATCCCCTCGAGCTCAGCCATCAGGTGAGGGGACTCCAGGAACCGCAGCCCCCTGCTCCCCCCCCAAAAAAACGCCGTTACCTTCCCGACGTAGTAGAAGGGGAACCAGTAGAGGAAGGTGTCGGAGAAGAACTCGGCTACGCTGAAGACGCCGTACACCACCCAGTAGGTCAGCCAGGTGGTGTCGTCCTCCTTGCTGGAGCTCTCGATGGCTTTGATGCTGCGGGTGGCAGGGGACAGGGTCACTGCTTCTGCGGGCTCGCTGCCGGGGTGGGCACAGCTGCCCCAAAAGCTGGGCGCTGCTGGCTCACAGCTGGGACCTTGCCAGGTCCCTGGTGTTTTCGGGACCAGGCTCTCGGGAGCTTCCTACTCACAGCGAGCTCCTGGGGGGCTGCCCGCCCACCAGGGAGACCCCCGGGCAAGGGCAGGGGAGGCTGTGAGCGCGGTACTTACGAGACGTAGGCGGGGTAGACGAAGCCGATGAGGTTGCAGAGCAGCGAGGCGCCGTAGCCAAACACCAGGTACAGCCCCAGGAACGCCACGGAGCCTGCGGGGGGGGGCAGAAAGGAGACCCCAGGATTCGTGGTGGGGCAGTTGAGCAGAGCCAAACCTCGGGGCTTGCACTGTTCGCTCTGGTCCCAGTTTGCTCTGGTCACCGTTTGTCCCCTCCCTGGCCTGGGGGGGATGGACCCACAGCAAACACTCAGCACCTTGAGTCCACCTGGAGCCAGCCTGCCCGGGGGGGAAGGAGGGACCCCAGCCCCAGGGCTCACCCCAGCCTCCCTCCCTGCAGCTCTCCGCACGTGCTTGTGTTGGGAACTCAGCCCCCTGAGAAACAGCAAGCCAGCCCTGCTCCCCCGTCATCAAATTAAATCGTTAAATTAAATTAAACGCGAGCCAAAGCTTGGGCTGCTTGGCACCTCCCCAAACGCTGGCAGAGGCTGGACCTGAGGAGCCCGAGGAGCCAGGGGAGCACCCTTGGGACCCGCAGAGCCCATGTCAAGGGCATTTGGTGTCACCCCAGCGGGGTCTCAGCTCCTCGCCCTGCTTACAACACCCCCCCGCTGTAAGCGCCTTACCCTGCAGCAGGCAGAAAGCCGGGGCTTAAGGAATTAGGGGAAGGGGGCACGGAGCACGGATCAGCCCCCAGCTGCTCACGGCAGCGTTTTCTGCACCGCGCGGGCACCCCGGGGTGCTGGGGCTCTGCAAGCATAGAGGGGGGCTGGGGGGAGCAGGAGCAGCACCCCCACGGCAGCGGTGGCGGCTCCCCGCACGCAGAACTAAGAGGCAGGTTCGGGCAGCTCTGGGTTTCGTGCCCTAAAGAGCCTTAGGATGGATTTCACGGGCTAAGTTTAGCCCCCGGAGGAATTTACGTAAGGCACAAAGGAGAGGCTTGGATTGCACGGGGGGGGGAGCCTGGGGTGTCAGGGGGCAGGGAGGGACATGCCCGGGGTGTGAAACCCACAGCGTGAGGAGGGAATTAGGAAAAAGATCAGGCAGAAAAAGGGGTTTTCTCTCTCCCCTGTGGATCCAGACAAGTTTTCACCCCATGGAGCTGCCCCCAAGCACCTGTCCTGTGCCCGAGAGCCCCCCAGAGCCCTCGTAGTGGCTCAGAAGGCACCGAGCTGCCCCCGGGGGGTTCAAACCCCCCAGGAAGGTTTTGCACCGAAATAGGAAATATTCGCAGCCATAAAGCAGCAGAAGGCTCCACGTGGCCAAGGGCAGGGGCACGGCCACGCCGGGGGCGATAGGAGGGGGTCAAGTGGGGCCGAGGAGCCGTTCCCGGGGGAGATATCTCTGGTTTCTCATTAATGAGCAAACAGCAGCTGGTTAACGAGCGGACCTCTGCCCTCCTTCCCGGGGGGGGGGGACACGGGACAGGTCCCCGCTGTAGCTTGGCTTCCCCATGGGGGGGACACGGGGGTCATGGTGTGTTTAAGGGGGACCTTGTGCCAGCAGCAGGGACTGAGGGCAAGGACAATGGTGCTGACACCCCCCCCCCCAAAATTAAAGCACCCCCCAAACAGCTCCCTGATCTCCCCCCCAGACCCTCCCCAGCCCTGCAGGACCCCCAGATGGGGTGGTCAAAACACCCCAGGAGCAGGGCACAAAGAGGGGGGGGGGGGCCACGGGGCTTGGGGGGGGGACCCTAAATGGGGAGGGGCTCCTAAAATTGGGGGGGCACACGAAATTGAGGGGGACACAGAAAAATCGGGGGGACACCCTAAGATTGAGGGGGGACACAGAAAATCGGGGGGAGACCCAAAAACCAGGGGAAGACCCAAAATCGAGGGGAGACCCCAAATCGCGGGGAGACCCCAAAACGGGGGGGGGGGGGCACTAGGGAAGGCCAGGGGGGGCAGCACAACCCGGCAGCAAAACCTTGAGGAGCTGAGGGGGTCCCTGTGGGTCCGGGGAGCCCCCGCGGGGCTGAGGGTCCCGGGAGAACCGGGGGGACAAGGAGGAAGGGGGGGGGGGTCCCGGTCTCACCTGAGGCCAGGTAAAGCCGCCGGACTCCGGTGCGGGCCTCCAGGCGGCCCAAGGAGGTCTGCGAGGGGCCCGGGGCGGTCGAGGAGGCGCTGGAGGCGCTGCAGCACCGTGCCCATGGCTGCGGGCCCCGCTCGCCGCTACCCCGGGGCCGGTGCCGGGGCCCAAAGCGGCGGCGGCGGCGGCGCGGGGCGGGGAGGGGCGGGCAGGTGGCGGCGCCGTTGCCATGGCAACGCCCGCACCGCCATGGCGGCCAGGCCGGGCCTAGGCCTGGGCCTGGTGTTAGGGTTGGGTTTGGGGTTGGGGTCGCTGCTGGCGGCCGCCACCGAGCCCCGTGTCTACCTGGGCAGCTGGGCCGTGAGGGTGGCAGCCGGGCACCAGGAGGCTGCCAGGCTGGCTCGCCGCCATGGGCTGCTCTGCCTCGGCCAGGTTGGGGACCCCCACAGTCCCCCCCAGGGACCCCCGGGTCGTCCCCACAGCACCAGCAGTGGTGTGGTGCTGGGGTGTTAGCGCTGCTGGGCTGGTGGAGGCAGGGGCTCGGTTAGGGTGGGTTTAAGGTGCCTCCGGTGGGCTGGCATGGGGATGGGAATGAGGGGAGGAAAGCAGTGTGATAGGGATGCACGGGTAGCTATGGGGTTGTGCGGGTACCTATAGGGCTGTACAGGAACCTATAGGGTTGTACGGGTACTGGTGTGAGTGCACAGGTAGCTATAGGGGCTGTACAGGAACGTATAGGGTTATATGGGTACCTGTAGGGCTGCACAAGCACCTGTAGGGCTGTACAGGTACTGGTAGAAGTGCACAGTTACATATAGGGCTGCACAAGTACCTATGGGACTGTACAGGTACCTATAGGGCTGTGCAGGTGCTGGTGGAAGTGCACAGGTACCTATAGGGCTTTATAGGTACTGGTGGGAGTGCGTAGGTACCTGTAGGGCTGTACAGGTTCCTTTAGGACTGCACAGGTACCGATAGAAATGCACAGGAACCTATAGGGCTGTGCAGATACCTGTAGGGCCGTATAGGTACTGACAGCCTCTACACCACAGGTGGGGGAACCCAAAGTCACACACTGCACAGCTCCCCTCTCCTAACAGCACCCCTGCCCTACACTCAGCTGCAGCCCCCCAGGCTCTGCAGCCCAGGCGGGGCCGGCACGCTCACCCCCAGCCCGGCTGCCCGCTCCAAACCACCCCACAGCAGCTTTTTGGGCCCACAGGTGCTGGAGGGAGAGCCCTACTACCACTTCAGGCACCGCGGCACCAGGCAGAAGTCCTTAAGCAGGCACTGGGGCTGGAACCTGCGCCTGAGCAGGGAGCCGAAGGTAGAGGGGGGGCTGCTGGGGACACCGTGGCAGCACCGACATGTCCCAATTTGTGCACTGCTCTGGGACGTGGCCGTACCAGCACCACCCCGAGCTGCGAGGGGACCACGTGTGGCCGTGCCTGGCTCTGACAACGCTGCCTCCCCCCCCAGGTTCTCTGGTTTGAGCAGCAAACAGCGAAGAGGCGCGCGAAGAGAAGCGGCAGCGTGGTGCCGACGGACCCCTGGTTCCCCAAGCAGTGGTACATGGTGAGGCTTTGCCCCTCGCTCGCCTAATCCCAACACCCTTCAGCAAATCACCAGGACTAATACCGGCGGTGATGAGACAGCAGGAGAGTCCCTGAAGGACATTCGCAGCCCCGTTGATCAATCCTAATCCGTTTTCCAGAATAATGACATCAACCCCGATCTGAACGTCCTGGCTGCCTGGAGCAAGGGCTACACCGGGCTGGGGGTTGTGCTGTCCATCCTGGACGATGGCATCGAGAAGGATCATCCCGACCTGTCCGCCAACTACGTAACCACAGCTCCCCGGGGAGAAGCAGCAAGGGTTTGGGGAGGCTCGGGGTGTTGTCTGCAGGGGTGGGAGGGAGCTGGCAGCCTTCTCCACCCCGTGGGACTCCGCAGGGGGAATTCAGCCTCTCCGTGGCCGGATCAAAAGGCTTGGTGTCTCCACAATGGGTTCTTACATCAAGGAAATGTTAGAACGCGTACGTGCTCAAGCCCCCAAAACAGCCAGATGTAATTACAGCAAGCTGCAAAGCGAGTAAAGCTTGTAAGCCCTCACACGCTGGGAGAGCAAAGGGAAAAGGGCAGGAGATTTGTAATCAGCTATTGTTCGTCACAGCCCGGGTTCGCTGCCCTGTGGTTCCTCCTGCCCAGCTCCACCGCAGGTGAGACTCACCCGTGGCACGCCAGGGGACTCCAAGCTGCTTTCTCACTGCCTGTGGACGCACACTGAAGCAGTCCAGTGATGCACAAATTGCCCTCTTTTAGTGAAATCCCGCTCCCAACAGGTTCAGGAGAAGCCAGAGCAGTGCTGGGTGTGCGGGGGCTTCCCTTGGTGCTCTGGGCTGGGTGACCCTCGTGGCCCCAAAACGCCAGCCCCTTTGCCCTGAGCTGGCACAGCCACATTTTGCATGAGGTTTTCTCACACTTTTTGTGTTAGGATCCCCTCGCGAGTTACGACTTCAACAGCAATGACCCCGACCCCCAGCCCAGGTACAACGCCTGGGACGAGAACCGGTGAGTTTCCTCCTCAGGCTGTCTGAGGAAATCATTTCTCGTGCTGGGGACGTTATACCCCCCAGGGCCGAGCCTACAGCAGCCCCTCGGCCCCTCACCGAGGACGGCTTCAGTGCTGTGGCTGCCCCCAGGCACTGGGACGCGCTGCGCAGGAGAGGTGGCGGCGGTGGCCAACAACCAGATCTGCGGCGCGGGCATTGCGTACAACGCGAAAATTGGAGGTGAGCACCAAATCCTGCTGCTGCGCCATGCAGGAGGGGGTCACGAGCCAGCTCACACAGCCAGGAGGAGCGTGAGCCTCCCAGCCTGCTGTCCTCGGGCTGACACCGACGTCACCACCACCCAAATTCTGCAGGACCAGGGGGGACCGCGGGGCTTTCGGAGGGATTGGCTGCTTGCAGCAGCACTTTGGATGTTATCAGTGATCCCCTGCGTGATGTTTCCCAGCTGTAAAAGCCCCGAGGGTTTCCTGCAGCGGCTGGGCTGAGCTGAGGGCTCGCACAGCACTAGAGGGTGCTGCGGATTTGCAGCAAGGCCAGCAGCAGTGCAGGGCTCTTCCTCCACACCTCCTGGGGCTGAATGCCCCGCACCGAGCTCTCCAACCACACCACACGCTGGCCCCATTCCCTGCAGAAGCAACTGCACCAAACGGGGTTAAAAGCTGGGAAAACTTGCTGGGTTTAACAAGGGGTCGTAGCTCAGCTCCCCAGGAGCCTGATGCCGTGGGGCAGGGTTAGGTGCAAGGTGCCCGAGGGGAGCGGGGTTTTGGATCAGCCAGAACCCGCTGAGCCCTCGCTGCTGGGCCCCGCAGGCGTGCGGATGCTGGACGGTCCCATCATGGACATCGTGGAGGCTCAGTCCCTCGGCCTGCGCCCGCAGCACATCCACATCTACAGCGCCAGCTGGGGTCCCACAGACGATGGGAGGACCGTGGACGGGCCGGGCGTGCTGGCTGCGGAAGCCTTTTACAGAGGGGTGACAAAAGTAAGCGCGGCGTTGGCCTCGGGGGTGCTGGATCCGGAGCAGAGCCACTGCCCGCAGGGCGCTGGGGCAGGAAAGCTCCAGGCTGGGTGGGACGAGTGCAAGGAGCCCTGCTCAGCCCCTTCTGCCTCTACCAGGGGCGCGGGGGCCTTGGCTCCATCTTCATCTGGGCCTCGGGCAACGGCGGCACCAACTACGACAACTGCAACTGCGACGGGTACGCCAACAGCATCTACACCCTGGCGGTGGGCAGCGTCTTGGCCAGCGGCCAGCGGCCCTGGTACAGCGAAGCCTGCTCCTCCACCCTCACCACCACCTACAGCAGCAGCACCAGGAGCGAGCTGCAGATTGTGAGTGACCCCCCCCCGGCAAGGAACCGGGTGCCACGGCTCGTCTGAGCCCACCTTGCACCCGGGGAGGATGAGGGAGCCTTTATTCAAGTGGCATCCTGCTCCTCGAGGGCATGGAGGGGCCAGGAGAGCAGAGCCTGCGGGAGCATTTATTGGGGTTACCCCACTCCTGGCAGCCCTGCCCTCTGTTCCTCCTGCACGGTGCCAGGAGCCCCCTGTCCCCCCCAGGTGACCACCGACCTGCGCCACCGCTGCACCGCCAAGCACGCGGGCACCTCCGCCTCGGCCCCGCTGGCTGCAGGAATGGTCGCCCTCGCTCTGGAGGCCAAGTAGGTGCCGGGGTGGCCACGGGGGTGTCCCCTGGGAGTGCCTGGTACTCGCCAGGACCCTTTGGGGACAAAGAAGAGGGATTTTGCTATGCTAGCAGGGTGGTTGGGGCGCAAAGCTGAGGTCTCCTTGGGCTGCGGGGCAGCATCTTCTCCCAGGGCACTACAGGAGAAGGGTCAGGGACAGGAGATTTTTCTCCCATGTAGTCAATGAAGGTTTTTGGGAGGAGATGGGGCCAGGCCAGCTAACTTTCCCACATCTCCCCCTCAAAAAGCTAACCCAGGGCAGAGACCTCTGCCCCAAAGTCCTCTTGCTTCCAGCCCGGCGCTGAGCTGGCGGGACGTGCAGCACCTGGTGGTCAGAGCCTCCAAACCTGCCCACCTGCAGGCAGAAGACTGGGCTGTGAATGGGGTCGGACGCAAGGGTGAGCTTGGGGCTGAGTCGCCGAGGGAGCATTCCCTCCCAGAGCAGCTCACGAACCCTCCTCTCTCGGCCATCCTCTGCTCCGCAGTGAGCCACCACTACGGCTACGGGCTGCTGGATGCGGGGCTGCTGGTGGAGCTGGCCAAGGCGTGGGCAGGGACTCGGCCCCAGCGGAGGTGCTCGCTCAGAGCTCTTCGTGCCCCCCGGTAAGGAACGGGGTCCCCTGGGTCTGACCCCATGCGGGCTCGTGCAGGAGCTTTTTTGGAGCAAAGTGTCCAGGAACAGGCATTGCTGCCCAGGAATGGGCTTCTGCTGTCACTGCAGGGCTGCGTTTAGAGGTCACGGTGGAGGAAAGGATGCTCGTGGAGGGGGGAGAGACGCCCTCACCCTGTCTTGTACCTGGCAGGAACATCGGCTCCAAGCTCACCGTCTCCGTGGACGCCTCCTCCTGCTCGGGGAGGACCAAGCGCATCCGCTCGCTGGAGCACGTCCAGGTCCAGCTCTCCCTGAGCTACAGCCGCAGGGGGGACCTGGTGCTCGCCCTGAGCAGCCCCATGGGGACCACGTCCACGCTGGTGACCGTGCGGTGAGGGCACTCCGCAGGGAGCAATTTCGTGATGGGAACGTTACAGAGCAGAGACTTTGTGGCTGCTGGGGGGTCTCCTCCTCTCACAGCCTCTCCTGGGGCCAGAAGAGAGGCCCCAAGTCCTGGCAATGCCCCGTTACACCAAAATCAGGGTTGTGGAGAGCCCCTTTGGTCTGCAGCCTCCCTCCCGCCTCTCACTCGTGGCTCTGCTCTCCCCCAGCCCGTACGACACCAGCCAGCAGGGCTACAAGGACTGGACCTTCATGTCCACGCACTTCTGGGATGAGGACCCCAACGGGACCTGGACGCTGCTGCTGGAGAACAAGGGCGATGCCTACAACACAGGTGGGCCCCCGGGGATGGCCCCCAGTCACCAGTGTCACCCAGTGCCCTGCTGTCCTCCCTCTGTGGTTAGCACCTGGCTGGTTTCCTCCTCTCCCAGAGGCAGGATCTGGCCAGAGGCTCTCTGCAGGGCCACATTTCCTCGTGGTTTGAGGCTCTCCCTGCACAGCCTGGAGGAAAACATTTTTTTCCCCGGATCTTCCAGCCCCACGCCCACCGCTTTGCACACCCCAAACCCTGAAGGGTGGGAACCCACAGCCCCCATCCAGCACCTCATCCTGCCCTCCTACCCCCAGGCGTGCTGAGCAGCTTCACCCTGCACCTACACGGCACAGACGAGGACATGACAGCCAGGCGCTTCGCAGCCCCCCCCACGGACGAGTGCCTCAAGCGGGACGCGCAGGGGGCGTGCGAGGGTGAGCGCACCCCTCACCACACCTTTGGGCAGCAGGGGACAGCACCCCCGGCTCCTGGCAGCCCCACATCCCAGCCTCATCCCTTTGCAGAGTGCAGCAGCTCCCTCTACGCCTACCAACATCGGTGCCTGCCCTACTGCCCCCCACGCTCCTACAGCCAGACCCGGGGAGCCCCCTCCTCAAGTGCATCCCGGGTGTGCTCCAGCTGCCACCCCTCCTGCTACACGTGCCGGGGCGCCTCGGCCAACGACTGCACCGCGTGCCCCCCTGCCCGCGTCTTCCATGAGCTCTCCCACTCCTGCCCCCCTCTGCTGGGCTTCTCCCCGGAGGATGGGCAGCACGGGGACCTCCTCCCAGTCCTCCTGGTCTGTGGGGTTCTGATCCTCTCGGCCATCCTCTGCGCCACGTACCGCAAGGTCGTGCAGGGTGGCTGGCCCTACAGGTAGCACCTGCTGGCCCCAGGCTGCAGGGACAGAAGGACACCAGCCCGGGATGGAGCTGTCCTCGCTCCCCTTCCGAATAAATGTTTTGTTGCCCTTTGGGGCTGCCCTTTCTGAAGGCTGACGTTCCTCACCAGCAGCTGTGCGCTGACCCCGCTCCATATCCAGCTCCGTGCATGGGTACGGACGCAGCGGTGGCTTCCCCCCCCCGCCTTCCCTGGCTCATCCCTTCCATTCCCCGGGGATTTGCACGGCTCTGGGGACCCAGCCCCTGCGAGGGAGCTATTTCCAGCTGGGCCGGGCTGCGTGGCCGAGCACGGAGCCCCGTGCCCTTTCCCAGGCGCAGAGGAGGAGATGTGACTTCCCTCCAAACAGCTGCGCCCCAGTAAACATGGCCAGAGCCTCCAGCACTGGTGGATTTTGGCAGGGGAGAGGGAGCCGGACTGGGAGCCACCGCTCCGTGGTGCTGGCACAGCAGGGCCCCGGTGATCAGCAGCCTTCAGAAACGTGCCCGGGGCTGGCAGGGCTAGGAGGGGGCACGGGGATCGCTGCCAGCTGGGGCCCTCCCGAGGGCATCGCTGCTGCATGGGGCTCAGCCACCGAACGGCAGGAACGGGGCCGCTGCGGGCACCCGAACCTGCGTGGCATCGCGGGGTGGCAGCGGGCTGAGCCCCCCAGCCCCGGGCTCTGCGTGTTTGCACAGCTGAGGAGGATTTGGGAGGCAAAGAAGAGAGCAAGACCTTTGTCCAAGCACGTAATCATCCACGAAAGCACCCCTCGGCGGGACGGTACAGAGCTCTGGGTGACGGCCAAGCGCTGCAGCGAGGCTTCCCCATGGCAGCTCTGGCCCCCCAAGCCAGGGTCCCTGCTGGGAGGGGGGGTTTCCCCATCCCGCTCCCCTCCTCGTGGGCTGTCCTAGTCCTCAGCAGGCAGCCTGCAGCGCGGGAGCCGCTGCTGCGCCTCGGTGCGCACATCGTCCTAGGGGAGAGATGGGGATGGGAGGGGGGCTGTGCCCCACAGCTCGTGCCACCCCCATCCCGGACCCCAGCCCCATCCTCACCGCCTGGCAGAGCTGTCCCAGCAGCGGGACGAGGCGCAGCAGCTCCTCGTCCCCGGGGTCCCCAAACCACCTCGGCACTGGGATCCAGTTGGCAGCCTGGGGAGAGAGGGCGAGCGCTGGCCACGGGGCAACCATCGTGGCCACGGGGCAAGTGAGCCCCCCGACACGAGAGCCAGCGGCTACCTGGGAGGGGAAGCCCTGGATGGTGTGGTCCAGGGCCACCGTCTTGGCCAGGTCCCTGCCCAGCAGGGCCAGATCCTTCCAGTAGCAGCCGCGGGCGCAGAGGCAGTCCCGCTGGGAGAGGCAGCGCCTGCAGGGGGACGCAGAACCCATGGGGAGCAGCCCCCGGCCACGGGAGTGCCCCCCCAGCAGGGTTTCTGCAGGGACATCACCTGATCAGCTTCTTTTTGGGGTCCAGCACATCCAGGATCTTCTCGGCGTAATCCTGCTTCGCCGTTGTGAAGATGAAGATCTGGGGAGAGCAGATGAAGGCTCCTGTGCGAGCTGCCCGAGCCCTCCCCACCCCGGTGCGGCAGCACCCGCCTGGTTCCACGCAGACCCCCCCGGGGAATTTTGGGGGGCTCCGGGTACCTCGTAGGTCTTGGAAAGGCTCTCGAGGAAGTGCTGCACGTGGGGACGCAGCTGCACGTGGACCTGCAAGGGAACAGCGTCCGCAGGCAGCCCCAGCACCCAAAACCCGACACCCAGCAGTGCCCCCCAGGGGAGCCCGGGGGACCCCCGCCACCCCCTCCCCTGGGATTCCATCCCCTGGGGTGCAAGGGGAGGATGCAGGACCCAAACCCTCAGCCCCCCACGGTCCCCACCCCGGCACAAGGACGCCCACCTTGTAGGCATCGCCCTGGAAGGAGGTGGTGAAGGAGGCCACGGCACCCGGCAGCCGTCCAGCGAGCACGGAGGAGCAGACCAGGGTCCCCTCCTGGGGGGGGCAGGCATCAGCATCAGGCCCAGCCCCAGCATCGTGCCCCCCGCCCCAAACCCCCCCCCAGCTCACCAGCTCCAGGACCAGGGTGTGCTCCGGGGTGCTGCGGGTCCTGCGTGGGCCGGGCGTGGGGGGCGCAGGGAGCGGGCTGGCCAGAGGAAAGCAGATTTTGGGTGCTGCAGGGGGGCTGCGGAGACCCCCCCCAAAAAAAAAACATACTCACAGGCTGGGGACAGCGGGGTCCTGGCACTCCTCCACGGGGAGCCCCGAGAAGTAGGCTCCCTTATAGCAGGGCTGCGATGGGGGGCTCGGGGGGAGTCCCAGCCCCGCAGCCCAGGGCTGGCCCCCTCCCCAAACAGGGGCTACCCCACGGTGGGGGGGCTCACCCCTTTCCCCTGGGGGGAGGGAAGGGGATGCCGGGCTGCCACGCTCCCCACCGCACTGCAGCCTGGCCAGCTGCTGCCTGCCGGGGGTCCTTCTGGGAGTCCTCCTGGGGGTCCTCCTGGGGGTCACCGGCTCCAGGGGGGGACCCGGGACGTGCTTGCCCCCATCCCCTCCTCTCTGCCGCCGAGTCCGGGGTTTGGTGGCCGAGAGCCCCAGGTCCCCACCGCTCTCCCTGCGGGGTCTCTTTGCCCGTGGGGTGGCCATCCCCAGGACAGACGGACAGGGGGACCCTCAGGGTGCCAGCGCAGAGCCCCCAGGCACCCACTAACGCTTGGGGATCCCCCCCAAAGCCAAAGCAGCCCCCACCCAGGAGTCTAGGTGGGACGGGGCACTTTTATAGGGCACCTTTCTGCCCCCAATCACCCCACAAGCCCCTGCCCACGCTCAGAGCACCTGGCACCACTCAGGCTGTACTGGGACCAGCTGGGGGAGCCCAGCCCTGCCCCAGTTCTGGCTCTCGGCCATCAACCACTGCCCCACTGGGGAGCCCCCAGCTTTTTTGGGAGAGCTCCAAACGCCCCCTGGGGCACACAGCACGGTGCAGGGGGTGGCCAAGCCTACGGTGCCCCCACCCTGTCCCCACACGGGCCCCGCGGGGCGCAGCCAGCCCCGGGTTGGGTTACGGCTGGGGAAGGACCCGCGAGCCTCCAACGGAAGGGAGATAAGCAGCAGGTCCCCGGCCCCGAGAGGCACAGGCTGGCGGGATTCCATCACGGGGACGGGGACAGGGACAGGATGGAGACAGGATGGGGACAGGGATGGGGACGTGTTGCTCCTGGGGCTCAGCACGGGGACCCAGATGGCACCCCGGGGTGGGGAGCGCAAGGGACACCCCGTCTGCTTCTAGCCAAGAAAGGGGCGCACAGCACCCGAGGGATATAGAGCTTTATTTTCTGCAAAAAAAAATAAAATAAAATAAATTACCACCCTCCTCCTCCCCCCCCCTGCAGCCAAACAACCCCTGAGGACAGCGGGGTGCCCGGCACAGGGCTCCGGGGGCGCTGCCCCCTCCATGGCCTCGCAAAGGGTCGCAGAGGACCCGCTGCGTGGCCAGAGGGGTCCCGGCCTCCCCGTGGCCCCCGGGGTCCTGCTGCCACCCCTAGGGTCCCGCTCCCACCCCCGGGGTCCCGCTGCCACCCCCGGGGCGATGTGTCCGGGGGCTCAGGGTGGCCGTGGCGGTGCGCAGTGCCGCGCTGCCTCCCGCACCAGCCGGTCCTCGCGGGGGGACCACGGGCGGGCGTAGCCGTCGCGCTGCAGCAGGATGCGGTTCAGGGTGTGCTCGTAGTTGACGTGGCGCCTCGCCATCAGCAGGTACTCGCGGCCCTCCAGCAGCGGGGGGCAGCCGCAGGCGTCGGGCACCCAGACGTACTCGCGGGGTACCAGCGGGAAGCGGTGCCGGTACGGAGTCTGCACCTGCACCTCGTAGCGCGTCTCCTGCCCCACCGAGCGCCGCGCCAGGATCTGGGCTCGGAAGACTGCAGGGAGGGTGGTGGGGGGCAGCCTGAGCTGGGCACACGGCCCCCAGCATCACCCCTTTGTCCCCCCCCCAGCCTGCCTGGTGCTCACCGAAGTCGCTCTGGCAGAAGTGCCGGATGCGCTGGGAACGTCCCTTGGGGGGCCGGCACCTCCCGCATCGCCCTGCATGGGGGTAAAGCTGCAGCAGCTTAGTGGGGAGAGGGGATGTGGCACCCCCAAACCCCCCCTTTAATTTTGGGGGACTTGTCCCATAAGGACAGAGGGAGAACGCCACGCTCTGGGCATTCAGCCCCCCCCCCCAGGCTCTCCAGGTTCCTCCCACAGCAGCACCCATGGGTGCAGGAGGGCATGGGAGGGGGGGTGCAGGCACCTGCGGCAACCCCGCTGCGGCCAGGGGGGGTTCTCGGTGGCTCTGTGGTGTGGCTCTGGGTCCGTGGGGGCGGCGTGGGGACCGGGGGCTCCTCGGGTGGGGGGCTGCCGGCCCCCCGGGGCTGGGGCTGCCGCAGGGGGCTGGTGTCGGGGGGCTGGGGGTGCCCGCGGGGCAGCCAAAACTCGTACTCGATGCCGGGGTTGGGTTCCTGCAGCAGGACCTGAGCGAGGCAGGGGCAGAGCTCAGGGCGGGGTGGGGGGCAGCAGGGCTGGGGGGCGGCTGCCCGTGGCCCCACGCCACCCCCGGGGCTCACCAGCACGTGGAGATCCTCGGCCGTGGGCCCCGCCGCCTCCAGGCTCTCGGTGCCGTCGGGGCTCCGGGCGTAGAGCAGCCGGGTGCCGGCCGCCTCGTACGGCCCCGGCCAGGCGATGGACCAGTCCCCGTTGAGCACGTAGCGCCCGTCGCTCGTCATTAGGGCTGCGGGAAGGAGCGTGAGAGGGAGCCGAGCACGGCCCCGGGACCCCTGCGCCGGGCTGGGCAGGGTGGGGGCTGCCCAGGGGCTGGAGGCCCCCCGGGAGGGCAGCGTGGGTTGGGGAGAAAGCTGCTTTCATGTGAGGTTTGGCCTCGGTCCCGAGCTGGAGCCGAACCCTGATGTGCAAAATTCCTCAGGTCCCCCAGGGGACGGGGTCCTGGGTGCACTGGGAATGGGGTTCTGGGGACGGGGACCCGGTGCTGGTCCCATGGCAGCCGGCCCGGCCCCATTGCGCCAGCCCCACTGCAGCTCAGCCCTTCCCGAAACCCCTGTCTATGCCCCATGCCCATTCCCAGCACCAACTGGGACGGACTGGGACGGACTGGGAGGGGATGGGATGCGTCCTACCGAGGTAGTTGCGGCTCTTGTCTGTCACCCTGATGTTGGTGGCCCCAGCCGGGATCTTGGTCACGTTCATGTACCCAAAATAACCTGGGGGCGGGCGGGGAGTCAGGGCAGAGCCCGGGCACGGCCGAGGGGGCATCGTGGGGATGGGGGTGCCAGGGCTGGGACCCCTGCAGGGTGAGCAAGGGGGTGGTGGGAGGGGACTGGAGCCATGCACTGGGACAAGGGGCAGCCTCTGGGTGCACCCAGGGACCCCCAAACACCCCTGGGGACCCCACGGACCAAAGGGACACCCCAGAGATCCCCCCAGAGGTGACCTGGGAAGAGCTGCCAAAGATCCTGGGGGACCCAGGCGAAGCCTTGGGGACACAAACGGGACGGGGGGGGGGGACAGGGGAGCCAAGAGCCAAAGCATTCACCCATGGAGGGGGCCGGGGCAATGGTTCATTCACCGGAGGGGGGCTCCGTGCCCTGGAAGAGCCGGTGCACCACGAGGCACCCGTCCTGGCCGCCGCCGCACCGGCCGCAGGCGTGGGGCCGCGCACCCGAGCCCAGGATCCCATCGCAGCCGACGCTCTGAGGAGCCGAGAGGCGGCGTCAGGGCAGGGACTGAGGGTCCTGGGGGATCCCAGGGGGTCCTGGAGGTCCCGGGGGTCCCATCCCCTCGCACACCCACCAGGCAGCGCCCGCCGACGCACAGCTCCGAGGAGTCGGGGCCGCAGCGGGTGCCATCCAGCACCCGGCCGAAGGTGTAGTAGAAATTGTGCCCCACGGCCAGGCAGTTGAGGTCGCAGGCGTTGGGGGCTGCCGGGGCCAGAAAGGAAGGAGGGGACGTTGTGGTGGGGGTGGCAGCAGTGTCCCCCCCCAGTCCCGGCTGCACCCACTGCCCCGGGGCTCACCTCCATAGAAGGGCACCCAGCGGTACCGGGCCTGCGTGCCCGGGATGGGTTTGTCATCGTAGAGGGAGCACTGCATGGCACGGAAAGGCACCGAGCCACCGGGGCAGCCCTGCGGGAGCGGCAGGATGGAGCCCACGGGGCCAGGAGCACGGAGCCCACGGGGCCAGGAGCACGGAACCCACGGGGCCGTGCTGTGCCGTGCCGTGCTGTGCCATGCTGTGCCGTGCCGCGCTCACCTGGAGCTGGCAGAGCCGGTACTGCCGCGGGTCTCCCGTGCACGGCTCCTCCGGGGGGGATCTGCGGTCACAGCATCGGTGTTTCATCCGGGGAAAACCACCCTGAGCAGCCCCACGTCCCCTTGGGGATGATTTACGGGGCCACGATGCCGAGCCGTGGCCTGGCTGGGAGCAGCAACCGGGAGCGCGGGGACCACATGGAGCCACCTGGGGACAGCCGGAGCCAGCACCCACCCCAATTCCCCGTCCCTCCCGCCCTACAACGAGGCTGAAACGAGGCCAGGGCCCCGCGTGGGGACAGGAGCTGCGGGAGCACCAGTGGAAAGTGGCACCCTGACGGCACCGGGGTGCGTGGGGACACCGCGGGGACCACTCACCGCAGGCACCTCCGGGCGCGGAAGGCGACGCCGTCCCCGCAGGAGCTGGAGCAGGCGCTCCAGGGTCCCCAGGGTCCCCAAGTGCCCCGAGCCAGCTGCCGGCGAGGCCGAGCACGGGCAGGGGCTCGGGGCCCTGCACCAGCACCTCCAGGGCTGAGCCCTGCGTGGAGGAAGGGGATGTTTGGGGTGGGGGCTGCGGTGGCACGGTCGGACCAGCCCGGGGGTGCCCCCGCGCCCTCACCTGCGCGGTGCCGATGCCGCAGCCCAGGCTGAGCCAGGCCAGGAGCAGCGCCCGCCACGGCCACCGGTGCCTGCGGGAGCAGAGACCCTGAGCCCCTCGCTCTGGGGGCCAGCAGCAGCCTGTGGGGTGCCCCACGTCCCGGCAGCGAGGCCACCGAGGGGGGCGGCCACCACCCTGCACCCCACGGGGACCCCGAGGCGAGGGAGAAGGAGGTGGAAAGGAGCCGAGGCGAGGCAGCCGGTGCAGGAGGGTCCCGGGGGCGCAGGGTGCGGCGCCGAGGTGGGCGCAGCCGCGTGGGCGCCGCCGGGCTCGGCACGGCACCGGGTTCGGCACAGCCCCACGCACGCCCCACGGCCGTGCTGAGCCCCACATGGCCCCACACGGCCCCGCTGCCTGCCGGGGCTGGCGGTGGCAGGATGAGACCTGCGCCGCGGAGGCGGCGGCGGGGCCGTGACTCAGTTGTCGCGCCCTGGGCAGGAGCCACGGTGAGAGCCCGGATCCGGATCCGGCCCAGCGTGGGCAGGGCGAGGGGAACCTGGGGGGCTGCCCCACACCTCCCCCCAACCCCAAAATGCGTGACCCCGAGCACCCCCAGTCCTGGCAGCTCCCCTCAACCCCTGGCACCCCAGTAGCCCCAAAGCACCCCAAGTTTCCCCAAGCACCCCACGGCACCGAACCACCCCGTGGCCCCAAACCACCCCGTGGCCCCAAACCACCCCAGTGGGCTCAGGACCACCCCGTGGCCCCAGTGCACCCTGGAACAGGGGTGTGGGGGCCCCAGCCCCGCAGCGGGGAAGGGGCCAGTGTCTGGGAATCCCCCCGCCGAGCCGGTTTCCTCCTGCCGAGCTGCGCCCACGGGGACCGGGGGCCGCGAAGCTGCCGGGGGGGGGCACAAATCCCCTCCTGCCCCCCAAGCACCCGCGTGGGTGGGAGCAGCACAGCGGGGCCCCCCCGAGTCCCCAAATCTTTCAGCAGGGCTGGGGGCTGCTCGTGGCTCTGGGGGGGTCGGAGCCCAGCGAGGGGCTGGTGATGCCGCGGGACCGGGTGGGCGCCACGTGCCTCAGTTTCCCCAGGGGCAAAGCAGAGCTCTGGGCACCCATGGGACAATGGGGGGGTCCCACAGCCCTCCCCCCCCCCCCAGAGCCCCCCAAGCAGAGCCGAGAAGAGGCCGCGAGGGTGAAGCCGAACGCGGGGGCTTACCCAGCACCGTGGGGTCCCCCGAGGTGGGCAGGGGGTGCCAAACCGCCCCGGCTCCCCGGCACGGCCATGCCTCGCCTCGCTTTGGCACCCAAGGGTGCCGGCGGCTCAGTCCCAGCCCGGTGACCCCACGGTGGGACCGGGGGGGTGGGCGGCAGCTTGGGGCCCCCCCGGACGAGCGGGCATCGCGTGCGCAGCTCCCCGGGGCGGGCGGCCGGGGCTCCCCTCCCGCTCGCCTCCCGTCCCTCCCCGGCGCGTTATTAATATCCAGCCCCAAAGGTGCGCCCAGCCCTCCCCAAACTCACGCTTAACCCTTGGGGGCCCACGGCGCACGAGGCTGCCGTGGGGGGGGGGGGACATGAGCTGGGGGGGGGGGCACCCAGGCTCAGTGGGGCTGTGTGGGGGGGGGTGGAGGTGACCCCGACCCTGGGTTCAGCGCATGGTGGGGTTGGGGTGAGCCGGGGGATGTGAGCGGGGCACGACCCCAGCACCCTGAAGCCCCCCCCCTCAAAAACACCCCGAGACCCCAACCCAGCAATCTGGGGGTTTGGGGGGGGGCCCGTGGCTCCATGGGGCAAGGCACCAGTGCCAGGAAGGGGACCCGGTCACCCACACAGGCACCCAAGGGGGATGCGCAGGGGGGAGCAGCCTCGTGTCCCCCCCCCGTGAGCCGTGAGCTGCCCCCCCCCCGTGGCACGATGGCCTTTGGGTGGCCTTGTCCCCCCCCGTCCGTCCATCACCCCCCCCAGGGTGACTCCTCTCACCCCGGCACGCAGGGAGTTAAGGGCTGGGGATGTCCCTGGGGGGGCCACAGCTGCCGGCAGCCCCCGTGCTGGCCGCACGCCAGCCCCCCCCCTCTCCTAGAGCCCCCCCCAGCCGAGGCCCAGCTGCAGGCACTGGGCAGGGAGCCCTGTGCTGGGCTGGGCTGGGGGGGGGGGGCTGGGGTGCAGCCCCCCCACGGTGCAAAAAGGATCCCAGGACCCCCATCCTCCCTGGGAAGGGGGGGGGGGAAGCAGATGGGACCCCCCCACCCCCTCCAGGACCGGGAGCCCCCAGGAGGGGGGGGTCCTGGGGTTGGGTCCCTGCTGAGCACCCAGCGCTGGGACCTGCTGGAGAGGTCCGGGGTGTTGGGGGGGGGGGGGAACAAAGACCCTGGGGGGGGGGGTCTTGGGGTGCCCCCCCCCCCGGGTCCCACAGCACCCCCCGGGTGTGGCAGCCCGGAGCCGAAGCGGTTACGGCACAGGAGGAGGAGGAGGAGGGGGGGGGGGGGGTGTCCTGGGGGTGTCCCTTGGGTGCTCCTGGGGGTGTCAGGCGCAGGATGGGGGGGGCCGAGCTGCCCGGCAGGCTACCTGGTGGACGAGGGCAGCGGGAGGCTCTTCAAGCTGGGGGGGCTGCTGGGGGAGGTAAATGCCCCTCGGTCCCCCCCCCCCGGCTCCATCCCAACCCAACCACGGCCCCGAGCCCACCACGGGGATGGGGAAACTGAGGCAGGAGGGGGGGCACTGTGGTGGTGGGGGGCACCCAATGCCCGCATCCTCCTCCTCTCCTCGCCCCCCCCCCCCCCCGGGGTGCCCGGGTGGGGGCTGAGCGGTGCCGCTGCCCCCCCAGGGGGCTTTCGGGCGCTGCTATCGCCTGAGCGAGGTGGGCAGCGGCAGGGGCTACGCGGCCAAGGTGATCCCACGGGCTCGGCTCAAGGATCCGGGGGTGGCGGAGAGGGTGAGTACCGGGGGTGGGGGCAGCCCCGAGGAGCCCCCCATCCCTGCCCCGTCTTTTTCCCTTTTTCCCGCTTCTTTCCCCTCTTTCCCTTTTTTCCCCTATCCTCCCCCTAATTTCCCCCTCTCCCCCCTTCCTCCTTCTCTCCCCTTTTTCCCCTTTTCCCCTTTATTTCCCTCTTCTTTCCCCTTTTTCCCCTTATTTCCCTTTTTGTTTTTTGTTCCCCCCTTTTTTCCCCGTCCTCCCCTTTCCTTTTTCCCTTTTCCCTTTTTTTTTTGTTTTTTTTTTCTTCTTTCTTTTCTCCCCTTCTCTTTTCCTTTCTCCCTCTTTCCCCTTTTTCCCCCCTTTTCCTTCCCCTTTATCCTCCCCCTCTTCCTTTTTTTTTCTTCCCCCTCCCCTTCTTTCTTCCCCTTTTTGTTTCCCTCCCTTCTCTTCCTTTCCCCCCTTTTTTTCCCCTTTTTCCCCCTCTCCTTCTTCTCCTTTCTCCCCTTCTTCCCCTTTTTTTCCCCTTCTTCCCCCTTTTTCCCCTTCTCCCCCCTCTCCCCCTTTATTTCCCCCTTCTTTCCCCTTCCTCCTCTTCTCCCCCCTTTTCCCCCCTCCTTCCATCCCCCGTCCTCCCCCAGGCCTGGTTCCCTGGGGGTTTTCTTCTCCCCGTGTCCCCCCCCCCGCAGAGGGATTTCCCCGCGGTGCTGGGGGTCTCTCTCCCCCCCCCCCAGGTGCAGCGGGAGCAGGAGCTGCAGGCCCCTGCGCCACCCGCCACTTCCTGCGCCTGCACGGCCACCTGGCCACCCGCAAGCCACCTCTACCTGCTGCTGGAGCTCTGCGGCCGCAGGGTGAGCCAGAAATCAGCCCTAAAAGATTTGTCCCCCTTTTGGGGCCAGCCCCAAACCCCAAATTGTCCCCTTATGTCCTTGTCCCCAGTCCCTGGCTGACATCCTGCGTGCCCGGGGGGTGCTGACGGAGCCGGAGGCGCGCTATATTACCTTCGGCAGGGCGGCGAGGGGCTAGCTACCAACCTCCACGGTCAGGGCCTGGTGCATCGGGACCTCAAACCCAGTGCGTGGGGCTGGGGCTGAGCCGGGGGGGCTGCTGGGCGAGCTGTGACCCCCCACCCCGAGCTCACAGTCCCCCCATCCCAGCAGGTAACGTGCTGGTGACCGAGAGGATGCAGGTGAAGATCGGGGACCTGGGGCTGGCTCGGCCGGCGGCGGTGGGCACCCGGTGCTGGGGGTGAGCGGGGCTCTGAGCTGGGGGGGGTCCCAGCATGGTGTAGGCCCCCCCTCACCTTCACCCTGTGCTCCCCCAGGGCGCTGTGCGGGACCCCCGCCTACATGGCCCCGGAGGTGTTGGACCGCAAGGGCCATGGGGTGCCCTCGACATCTGGGCCTGGGGCTGCATCATGTAAGGGGGGGACCTGGTGGGTGGGTGGGGGGGCTTCTGGCCTCGCTGAGCACCCAGGACCCCCCCAAACCCCCCCAGGTATGAGGTGCTGACGGGCAGCCCCCCGTTCGAGGCGGCTGAGAGGCAGGAGCTGTATGGGAGCATCCGCGCGGCACGGTACCCCCGCTGCCCCCCAGCCTCTCGCCCCGTGCCCGAGCCCTCCTGGGGCGCCTGCTGCTCCCCGACCCACAGCACGAGCCGGCCTCGTGGAGGTGCTGGAGCACGGATTCTTCACCCAGGTATAAACTGGGGGGGGTACGATAACCCTGGTGCCCCCCCGGGATGGGGAGGATGGAGGAAATCACCGCCTCTCGCCCCCCAGGGCTTCACGCCGGACTCGCTGCCCACCCCACGCCTGCCGCACCGTGCCCATCTTCTGCCTGCTGAAGGGAGCTGTGGTGGCACTGGCACGGCGCTGGGTGAACTGGGAGCACTGGGACGCAGCCACCCGGCCCCCCCCAAAGGAGCAGGTTCCTGGGCAGGAGCTCAGCCCCGCAGCCAGCGGCTGAGGAAAACCTTTATTAGTGCTAGGAACCGTCTAAATTCCAGTCATCAGGACAAGCAGGGCAGGACGGGACCAGTACGAACGGCACACACACACCAGTTTGCCCTTAGAAAAGGTTAACAGGAGAAAAAAAAATAAAATAAAACAACCGACGGGACCTCTCCTCCCCGACAGGAGGGGGACGGGGACAAGGGGAGGGGGACGAGGTGCGGCTCCGGGAAGCCGGGTGCAGGACAGCTTCGTGCCTCGGGCTGAGCCCCGAGGAGCAGCACTTACACCCTGGGGGGGGCACAGAATGGGCCCCCCTCTGCCTGCAAGCACCTTTCAGCAGCACCTCTCCCTGCAGGGGCAGCAGCAGGAGGTATGGGGGGGGGGGAAAGGACGACGTTAGCGGGGGTCTGGGGGCAGGAGGGAGCAAAAAGTGCGCGGTTTCCCCGTCCGCTTCTCTCCCTGGAGAAGAGGGCTGAAAGAAAACCCTGAAAGCTGAGTAAAACGGGACATTTAAAACACCCACAGCGCGGCCCCGGCAGCGGGCAGCCCCCGGGACGCCGGCCTATGTCTAAAACAGAGGGGGGGGGACACACAAGATGCCTGCGGCGGCCCCAGCCAGCACCACGGAGCCGTTTCGCTGCGCACGGACCCGGCCACGTCAGCGCAGGGTGACCCTGGTGGCCCCGGCCTTGCACCCGTCACCGAGGGGCTGGGGAGGGAGGTGACGAGGTGACAGCGTGAGCTGCAGGGCAGGGAGCGAGCCCGAGGCTGGAGCTGGGGTGGGAACGGGGAGAAAAATCACCAAAAAGGGGAGCCGGGGAGGATGAGGGCTGCCCTCGGCACCCACCACGATGGCAGGGAGGAGAAATCCCTCCCCAACGGGTGCTGGGAGCAAGCCCGGGGGGTCCTCAGCTCCCCGGGGAAGCTGCCCACCTCCCCCGGCCCTAAATGTGCACCTTCCCCTGCAATTCCTACAAAAAAAGCAGGAGCTCAAGCCAAGGAGCAAGGCCAGAAACCAGCCTTCACCCCGGGCTCGCAGCCCCACGAGCGTGGGCACCGCGGCACCAAAAACCACAGGGCTGGGGCTGCAAGCACAGAGCAGGGGGGGGCTCAGCACGGCCCCGCACCCCCAGGGCACGTTTTTGGGGCCTTCCCAAAGCCGGGAGGGGGGCGGGCAGGAAACCCAGCTGCTCCCAAGGCCAGTGAAGGGCTGGCTGCTGGCCCTCGGTTGGGTGCCGCACCCAGAGCCCGGGCGCTGGCACGGCTCCCGCTCGGTATTTTTATCCCAGGCATCTGCCTTGGTGGAAGCTGCCTGCTTTTTTCTTCCTATTTTTTTTTTTTTTTCCATGGCCCACCCCTGTTCCACCCTGGTTTAGAGGTGACAGCAATAGCTGCACGCCCTGCTGCCGTGGCCCGAGCCCAGAAGGCACCCGTCAGCTGTCCTAAGGTGGCCCCGGGGGGCCCCAAATGCGAGAGCCACGCGCAGCAGAGCCCTCAGAGCCCTCGTTCAGGAGCATTTGGGGGGCTCAGGGCAGGACGTTCCCATAAATGCAACCATTTTTCACATCTCCCCTTCTTTATTCCACAGCTGATCAAAGACGGGGAGAGCCAGGCTCCTACCAGGGCTCCCTCGGGGCCTTTTTGTTTTGTGCTCAAAGTCTGCCCTGGGCACAAAGCAAGTCGAGCCCCGGGGGAAGGCTGGTAAAAGGTTGTTAAAAAGCAGGAATTTAAAACACGGATTCTTAAAACAAGGATTCGGGTTTGCTACCTCCTCACACCCTCCTCCCCGGCTAACGATGAGGCTGAAACTCACCCTTGTGCAGAAACGGGGTTCAAAGTTCAGCCAATTTCGGGGGGCTAGCACCAGCCCCATCCCCCCCTTTTTTTTTTTCCTTTTTTTTTTGGGGGGGGGGGAGAGGTGACAAAAGGGAATCGGATTCCCTGCGCAGAGCTGTCGCTGCAGAGCCCTGGCCCTCGGAGCAGGATCCTGGAGGAACAGCTCCCGGCGGGGGGCTGGCCCAGGACGCGTTGGGATGTACCGGGTGGCGCAGCCGAAGAGCTGGCTCGACTGGGACGGGCTGGAGCAGCTTTTTAGCAGGCTGAAGGCAGCGAGTTGCTCTCCACCTTCAGTCCCTTGCTGGCCAGGAAGGCGTCCTGCTTGGGCTCGCGGCCCAGGAACTTCCTCAACATGTCAGAAGCATCCAGGGAGCCGCCGGGATGCAGGATGCAGTTCCTGTAATCCATGCCCACCTGCAAGGAGAGATGGGGGGAGCATTTAGGACAGCCACCCCCCTGCCAAACTCGCTGCTCCCACCTCTCGCAGCTCAGCCCACAGAGAGCCCCGAGCCCAGCCCTGTAGGATGCCCCCCCCTCTTACCTTGCAGTTCATGATCCCCTCCTGCTTGAAGCGCGTGTGGAACATGTCCATGGAGTACACCTCGCTCCAGAGGTAGCCGTAGTACTGGGCATCGTAGCCCCCAGCCAGGTGGCCAAAAGTGGCCGGCATGTTTGTACCTTCGCAGCAGGGGAAGGGAAGGAAGGGGAGGGGGCGTTAACGGGAAAAAAACTCGTGGAAAAAAGCCCTGCGGGCTGTAAATGTGTCACTGCAGGCACTGTGTCGGCTTGTTTGCAATCACAGAGGAAATGGGGAAGGATTTTCCAGTTATTTTTGTGTGGTTTTAGCCCTGCTCTTCTGGAAGTCAGCAAATCCCACCCCCACCAAACCAGCCTGAGGCCCCAGCCTTGCAAGGGACCTGCGGTGTGAGCGGGACCCCCGCAGAGCCCCGCGTTACCTGGGGTGGCCGGGACGCCCAGCACCTCCTCACACAGCTGGGCAAACACCTCCACGGGGTCAGCCTTGGTCTGGGTGTGCAGCGCCTGGTCCACCTTGGCCAGGACGATCTGACGCAGGTTGAACAGTCCTGTGGGGGGAGGAGGAGGAGGCGAGCTGAGGCCCGAGGGCTCCCACTTCTCCCCACACCCGATTTTAAAACCATTTCCCCAGACCAGACCATGCAGATGTGGTTCTTCCTCCCAGCCCTCTGTCCCCACAAAGCCTTTCCCCTAACCATCATGACCAGGACATCACGGGTCCCCTTCCAGTCCCCACAAGCAGGGGACACCAAGGCAAGGCTCTGACCTTGCTGGGAACATCACACAGCCCTTCGCTCCCCAAAACCTTTTGTCACCGGCTCCCACCTGTGTTTGCCTGCCGGGATTTAATGAGTTTCTCCAGCAGCTCGTCGGGGATGGGGCTTCCAGTTTTGTAGTGCCTGGACATGCGCAGCAGCGGCTCCTTCTCCCACACCCAGTTCTCCAGCATCTGTGACGGTGCCTCGACGAAGTCCCGCTCCACGTGCGTCCCGCTGAACATGGCAAACTCCGCCTGGAAGACGTGTCAGACCGTCAGCTCAGAGCAGGGCATCGTTTCATCCCCCAAAAAGAGAGCAAAACGGGGAAAAATAACAAAAAGGCCCCGCTGGGCCTCACCTGAGAGCACAGCTGGTGCATGACGTGCCCGAATTCGTGGAAATAGGTCTCCACCTCATCGTGCTGCAGCAGGGAAGGCGCGTCCGGCGTGGGCTTGGTGAAGTTGGCCACCATGGCAGCCACCGAGATCTGCCGGCTGGAGTCTGGCAGGAGGCAGCCCGGCTGCAGGCCGAAGCAGGCTGCGTGCCCGTACTTCCCTTCCCTGCCACGGGGAGAAAGAGGAGGCTGGTACGTGGGTGAGGTGCCCAGGGAGGCAGCCACGAGCTCTCAAGCAGGGCACTGAGCTCTGCTCCCAGCACAGCCCTGCCGGTGGCTGCAACCCTTCCTCCACCAGAGCCACGCACTGAGACATCCCCTTCTCTTCCCTCCGCACGTGGCAGGCTCCTGTCCCACTAATCCCAACCCTCCTCCCTCTCTTGGCCGTCCCCAGGCCTCACCGTGGGTACAGATCCAGGTAGAATTTGCCGATGGTCTCCCCGGAGGAGGCGTCCTTCACCGTGTACAGCTGCACGTCCTCGTGCCACACCTCAGCCTTCTCTTCCAGGTGGAAGGTGAGGCCCAGCAGCTCCTGGTAAATGGCCAGCAGGCCCGTGGTGACCACCTGCATGGGGAAGTATTCCTTCAGCAGGTTCTGGTCCACGCTGTACTTGGTCTCCTCCACCTGGTTCATGTAGTAGCGCATGTCCCAGGCGTTGATGCGGTTGTCGAACTCCAGCCCTCGCTTCTCACACTCTTTCTTTTTCAGGTCCAGGATCACGGCCCGCTCCTTCTCCCCCAGGGGTTTCAGCTTCTGGGCCAGCTCATCTGCAAGGGCACAGGGGGAGGGTTGGGGGCCAGGGCTGAGAGCAGCCCCCCCAGCCCAAGGGAGCCCGCTCCTCCCCTCGGCAGCCGGGTGCCGTACCCAGGAAGGTGGCCACCGTCCTGCTGCTTTTTGCCATGTTCATCTCCAGCACGAAGTCGGCGTGGGTGCTGAAGCCCAGCAGGCTGGCTTTCTGAGCCCGCAGGTCCACCAGCTCCTTGAGGATCAGGCAGTTCTCCTGCAACGTGAAGGAACAAAGCTGCGCCTCGTTCTCAAGGCAGAGAAGAAACAAAACCCAAGCCCCAGCGCAGAAAGCAGCACGAGTCTCAGAGCAGCCCCCTTCAGCGCATGGAAAATTCAGTCTTTCACGGGACCACGGCCAGGAAACCCCTTCCCACACATGCTGAGCAAGGCTCAGCTGTCACAGCTTGCCCTAACTCTGTCTCCTCCCCAGCTCTGAGGACTCTACAAGCAGCAGGTCTCCATCTCCCTGAAGATGCCATCGCCCTTCCCAGGGATCTGGGGGCACTGAGGCTTCTCTCCGCAGGACGAGATGTGCCCAGGGAAAAGTCCTGACGAGCATTTCTCCCGGCCCTGCTGGCAGGCAGCGAGGCCACCCACCTCTTTGCACCTGGAGTTGAACATTTCTTCCACCTTCCTCCTCGTCTCAGGCACGTAGCACTTCTTCAAGAGAGGGAAGTAGTGCGGGTACTTCAAGGTGACCTTCAGCTTCCCGTCCTCCGTCTTCTCCAGGGAGTTGAGGAAGTCCTCGGGGAGCCCCCCTGAGAATCAGAGAATCACAGAATTATAGGGGTTGGGAGGGATCTCGAGAGAAAAGAGCAGCCAGCTGACAGAGAGCCCGAGCCTCTCCCGAAATACCAGCTCTGGGCACAGCACGAGCTCTTGCTCCTTGGCCAGAGCCATCCCAGGGCTTAACAAATTCCTGCAGAAGGCAGGAACGCTGCAGGAACACCCTCTTTTACCTCCACCCCAGAGCAGGGAACAGCCCCCAGGCAACCTTGTCAGGCCCAAAATGGGGCGTGAGCACGAACCAGGCCCTGAGACCCAGGAGAAATGAGTCTGAGAGCTCCCTACCTAGTTCCTCCTTCGAGAAGGGCAAGAAGGTGGTGTCTTCGTTGAGGTTCTTGTTGAAGTCTATGCAGAGGACGCTCAGCTTTTTCTTAATAGCTTTGATTTTCTATAAAACGGAGAAGAACAGATAAAGTCAGCCCAAATGGGAAAGTCAAGCAGCACCGTTCAGGGGCTGCAGCCAGCAGCCTGCCTGCTGAGTCGCCCCCTGGTCTGCACTTGGCTTTTATTCAACTGCAACGTTGCAGAATTAATTGCACTCGGGCTGGAACAGGCTCCCTTTGATCCCACCTGGTGGGAAAGCAGCCACCTCAGCACCGTCCCAAGCACCTCCTGCCAGCTCAGGAGCTGCAGGTGTTTCAGCAGCGACCTCCCCTGCCCTCATTTCATCTCGTTTTCTCTTCTATTTTTAACCCAATTTCAGGCTCCTTCACTGAGCCACGATAAGAGGGGGAAGACATGAGGGGGACGCCCTCCCCGCTGCCCCCACGCCTGTGGTGTGACGTTATCCCCACCCAAAAAAAAGGAAAAAAAGGGGCAGGGAGACATCACCCAGCGTGCCCAAGGTCACACGGATCAGGAGCGAGCCTCAGGCCTCTGCTCTAAAGCTCCACTGCCCCACCAAGGCGTCCTCTGCACGTATTTATTTTGAGCCCTGAGGCCTCACCTCCTGCGTTTCCTCAGGGAGATGGAGCCCGTTTCTCTTGCCCAGTTTGATCAGCCTCTCCAGGTACCTCTTTGCTTCGGGCTTCAGCGAAGCGCTCTCCGCTTTCTCCTGGAAAACAAAACCCATGAGCAGGAGAAGCCACAGGATGAGACCCCCACACGGCTCTGCAGGAAGCTGGGGGGAGTTGTGGGCTGCAGAAGCGGCCCAGAGCAAACAGAAACACACCACAATAAGGCTTTGGTGCATTAATTCCTATCGGGCTGCTTTAAACATCTCACCTTTATGCCCCACTACAGCCCCTTTTGGGACATTACTCAATTCCAGACCCCGCACCGTTTATTTCTAAGGTCTGGGACGAGGGAACAGAACTGCTTGTAACTCCAGGAGGTTTCTGTTCCCCACTTGGAGGCATCCTACTCCCGAGCACGCACCTGGAGCCAGACAATCCTCTGGTAGACGTCCTGCCTCATGCTCATCTCCACGTCGAACTCCGAGAGCTTCTTGTCAGCCTCGGTGCTCGCTGCACGGATGTCTTTGCAGGGAGAGACGTGCTGGGGGAAGTCCAGCATGTTCCTGCGGACTGGAAAGAGAGCAGAGGGTTCAGCAGAGGCAAGGAGAGCGATTTCCCACTGCACTCAGCCTTCTGCATGCAACTTGCATGAATTTTATGCACCCCAGACCCCAACTCTCTTGCTGCTTGGAGAACCACGAGGTTTTTACAGCAGCACCGTTGTGTCTCCATCCCTCGGCACCAGCTCCTGCCCAGGAGGGGAGCGGGCGTCAGATAACTGGAGCCAAAAACCCATCGGGATGCTTCACACATAACCTCTGACATGACAGCAGCGCTCAGGCAGACAGGACACAGATTTTTATCCAAGGAGTTGGAGAAAAGCTGGAGATTTCTTAGATTTCTGCCAACGCACTCGGACGTAAAAAGGAGCAGGCAGCCTTAAAACCTCGCTGGAGCCCCGCAGCCCTTCCTGCTGCCAAAGCAGCGGCGCTGCCAAGGCGTTGGCCTCATTTTAGATTCACGTTTCTGTTCCAGGTCTCTTTTTTTTTTTTTTTTTTGTACTCGTATCTAGCTGCGTAAACATTAACTGGAAGGCAAACATCACACCGAGGGCTTCAAGGGAAGACAGAAATGACAACACGGAGACGCCCTCCCAAAAAAGAGTGCAAAAAAAACCACAATTAAGATGCAGATTTCCAGAAAATGAGCGTGTCTTCTTCGGCTACCTACCCGTGTACTCCACCTCCACGTCCGCCAGGGCCTTGAGGGTGTTCTCGTAGGACACCTCTCCCCGCTCCTGGGCGCCCACGCGGTCGTACACCAGCTTGGTCCTCTCGGTGAGCTCTGCGGCCATGCGCTCGATCTGCTCCGCGCTCAGGTCCCAGCGCAGCTGCTCGGCCACCAGCCGCGGGGCCTGGCTGTCCACCACGCTGCCTGGGGAAACGAGGGGACACCCCCCCCGTGGCACGGCCGCACGCCAGGACACCCCCGTCCTCACCGGGACCCCCCCCGTGTCCTCACCAGGAACCTGTGTCCTCGCTGGGACCCCCCCGTCCCCGCCAGGACCCCCCTGGGACCCCCCCGTCCCCACCGGGACCCCCCTGTCCTCGCCGGGACCCCCCTCCTTGACCTTACCGGGCTCCCCCCGTGTCCTCACCGGGACCCCCCCATTCCCCACCGGGCTCCCCCCCCACGCTGGGACCCTCCCCGGCCTCCCCCCGTCCTTACCAGCTCCCCCTCCTCATCTTTACCGGGACCCCTCCCCCAGCCTCCCCCCGTCCTCCCCGGGATCCCCCCCCTCGGCCTCCCTGGGACCCCCCCGTCCTCACCGAGCTCCCTCCCCTGTCCTTACCGGGACCCCACCCACCCTTACCGGGACCCCCCCTCCCGCCCTCACCGCCCCCTCTCCCCCCCCCCCCCAGCCCTTACCGGCCCCCCCCCGTCCTTACCGGGACCCCCCCTGGGCCTCCCCCCGTCCACACCGGGACCTCCCCCGGGCCTCCCCGGGGACCCCCGTCATTACCGGGCCCCCCCCCCGGTGCCCCCAGCCCCCTTACCGGTGGGGGGCGCCATGCCGGGCTCCGGGACCCCGCTGCCGCCGCCGAGGCCGTGAGGAGGCCGCGCCGGCCCCGCGCACCGAGCATGTGCCGCGACCAACGAGACGGGCGGGGAGGGGGGGGGAAGGGGCAGAGCGGCCGCGCCCAGGGCATGCTGGGATCGCGGAGGACCGCGCCGCTCCCCCTCGTTATTTTTCCCCTCTCCGGGACCGGGAAAGGGCCGGGAAGCGGCTCAGCCCCCCCGGGCCCCCCTCCCTCGTTACCCGGCCTCAGCAGCGAGGCCGCGGCCCGGTGAGGCTGCCCGCCCGTTGCCATGGCGACAACACCCCCGCCCCCCCCACCTCCACGTCTCTATGGTCAGACAGCAAATACAGAGCGGCGCCCGCACTTCCGGCCTCCAGCCCGCCCCCCTCCCATTGCGCATGCGCAGCGCCCTCAGCGGCGGGAGGGAGGGAGGGGGCGGGGGCGGCGCATGCGCAGTGCTGCGCCCGCCCTGGCTGAGGCGAGCGGCGCGGGGCCGGTGAGTGGGGGAGGGGCGGGGCCGGGGCCTCCCCCACCGGCACCGGGACCAGGCCCAGCCCCGCGGCCTGGCCGCTACGGGGCGGGGAGGCCCCGGCCTAGGCCTCTAACGGGTCCCGGGGCCGGTTTGGGCTCGCTCCCCGGTCCTTTTAGGCCGCCCCGGGGTGGGAAGGGGGCGGCGGCCGCGCCGGTAGCGCTGCCTTGGCCTCTCCCGGGACCGGCCGCGGCCTGGTAGGCCCGGGGGGGGGAGCAGGGGGTAGGGGGAAGGGGGGAGGCGCCGCCGCCTCACGCAGCTCCGTTCCCCGCAGGGTGAGAGCCGCGAGGAGGCACCGAGCGCCCCCCGGGATGGCGGAGCAGAAGCGCCTGGCCTACGCCATCGTCCGGTTCCTGCACGAGCAGCTGCGGGGCGGCGGGATGAGCCCCGACGCGCAGGAGAGCCTGGAAGGTCGGTGGGGGGGGGGTGCCCCTGCCCCCTGCTCCCCCCTCCTGCCCGGGGCTGGCACTCGGGGAAATCCGGGGCTCGGTGCCTGCCCCCTGACCCCTCTGGTCGCTGCCCCCTGCCCCGTCCTGCCCCCGGTGTCGCGGCTCGCTCCGGGTTTGGAAGTTTTTCTCCGTGGGGAGGTAGCCGGGGCACTGGGGGTGCTGGTTCCTCGTCTCGTCACCTTCTGTGAAAGAAGATCAGCTTGAGGAAGGAACGCACCTGGGATCAAAAGCCTCCCTGAGCCCCGCTTTGAGACCTAAAGTTTAATCTTAAATGAGGCTCGGTCAGGAGCCTCACAGCAAGGTGTAAAATAAGGACTTTGGGGCTGTCTCATACTCGCAGAGGGCTTTCCAGTTCTGCTATAAAATGCTTTTCCCCACCACAGCCAGAATTTACACAGGCGTTTTTCAGAGGGCCTCCTTCACTGGTAACGAGAGGGCACTGACCCTAAGAGCTCTCCTTAAGGAGCTTATGCTTCAGTCTTTGGCCTTTACGTTCACCCCCAGCACACAGAGCATGGGCACGTCCGCAGAAAGTGGTGGACACATTTCTGGGCAAGGCAGGGACAGAGACAGGGCAGGAGGAGGCTGTTGGCTGGCAGGGGTTTATTCCTGGTGCTCTTGGACTTTAAAGTATGGCCGAAGCGCTCTGCTCCACTGCTGGGTTCCCCTGTCTGGGCTGGGAACAGATTCCTGTCCTGCTGGGGGCAGCTTCGGGAGTGCTAGCGATGCCCTGGCTCTGTTAACTTCCACCCCAGCACCTCCTCTGAAGGTTCTGAGGGGATGGGAGTCGTGGCTGTTGCCTTCCAAGAGCTTCCTTCCAGGGTTTTCTTGGTATTTTCAACTGTAAAAAAATCAGGTGCTGTGCAAAAAGGCTGAATAGACAGAACGAGGAGAGCTAATGAGCTGTCTTTTCATATCCAGTGGCGATCCAGTGCCTGGAGACAGCTTTTGGGGTCTCCCTGGATGACAAAGACCTGGCTGTGTCCCAGACTCTTCCTGAAATATTTGAAGCTGCTGTAGGAAAGGTGAGCAAATCCCCCGAACATGCGCTGACTTTCGATCCAGGCAGCCCCAGGGGTGAGCTCTGCCTGTTTTCCGCGGTGCTGCTGCCCCCTCAGAGGCGTGTGGGAGGGAAATGTTGTGGGCCTGATGAGTTTGGGGAGGGGGAGGCTGGGTTCTGCTCCGTGGGAGTCCTCCTCTCAGCACAGCGCTTTCCCTTTTCTTGCAAGGAGCCTGAGCACACCAGAACGAACTCGGAGCCCATCACCCCCTCTGAAGATGACGTAGCCGAAGCTGAGAGACTCAAGACTGAAGGTAGAGCCTCCTCTGGAGCCGGGCGTGAGGAGGTGTAAAGGAGGGTGGGGAGGGGAGGAAGGCTTCATTCGCTCTGCCCCACGGGCACGCACGGAGCGGGAAGCACGGAGAGGGGCTGGAGCCTTTGTTCCTGCTCGTTCCTCCCCGCGGGTGCAGATTTGGTGCAATTCAGCTGCCACAGAACCTGGGCAGGGAGCTGGGTCAGCAGCTCCTTCAGCTGGAAGGCTTTGCTGGGCAGAACGTGGCATCTTCCCCGCCGAGGTCTCTGCCTGTTGCCTTTCCTCTGCCCTGTAAGAGTGAGAATAGAGAGTGAGAATAGAGACCCCCTGCCTCACACTCACACGCAGTTTGATCAGCAAGAGGTGCAAGCTCCTGGCTTCCCTCGCGTTATTTTCTCAAGTAGAACGGAGATCCAGGCCTGTTGCTTTCGTTTGTCCCCACCTTTTACCTTACCTTTTCTCCATCCCTTTAGGAAACGAACAAATGAAGGCAGAAAACTTCGAAGCTGCGGTGTCGTTCTATGGGAAAGCGATCGAGTTGAATCCATCCAACGCGGTGTACTTCTGCAACAGGTACTGCTCTGCCCCCAGCCCCGTACACCTGTGGTTTTGCTCCTTTCTTCTTACCCCGGACTCTTGCTCAGTCGAAATCCCACGTTCTGCTTGTTCTGTTCCCTGCTCTTGGTGATTTATTTTCTTTCCAAGCTCAGTGACACACTTCCCTGTGCCTCTTGCCAGCTCTGTGCCCTGGCATCTCTAGATAGGACGTGGGTGTGGAAACAAACTCTGTCAGGCATTCAAGGAGATACGAGGATGCCAAGAAATACTGTCTGCTTTCATGCAATTAACTCCTTAAGGAAGACAAAGGGCCCAGGTTTGGGAGGCTGGGTCGATAATAAACAAAAGAGTGAAGTGAGACGAGTTGAAGGCTCGGTCTTGAGAATTTTATACGTGTTGAGAGTTGTGTGTGTGCAAAATGAGCCTGCAGGTGACCTCCCTAATCTTCAGGGGTGTGCTGAGCAGAAGGACGTGCAAGCTGGTGGAAAAACAAGTGAGTTAAAGCAACTTTGAGTCAGGGTTTGATTTAGTTATCTGCTTGAGCAGAGCAGGGAGCCAAGGTTTTAGTTACCTGCTTATCGTGAGCACAGGCTCCACGAGTAACCTGTGTGCACGCGTGCTGCCGAGGTGCTGAGTTACTTCCTGGCTCGTTTTAGCTGCCTGAGGGTCGTCCAGCGAGGTGCTGGGCGGGTGTCCTGGTGCCAGTAGGAGGTGTAAGACTGGGGCTTGAGGGAGCTCGGTAAGAGGAGAATTAATTCTGAAATTTTATGTGGAGATTGTCAGAAAATGGGTGAAACGGTCGTTGTGGCTAAGAAATCGAGGCATAAGGGAAGCTGAGGGATTGGTGTGAGCTAGTGAGTGGGATACTTCCCTGCCTCCTCTTGGAAAGGCCAGGAGGAGGAGAAATCCTGGATTTATTTGCAGTAGGAGCAGAGCACGAAGCTGGGTGTTTGGGTAACACCCTGCTCACGTCGACACGGCCTGGATTTATGTCAACTTTACTCTTGACTTTGCCTGTGCCGCAGGACACCACGGAGAGGGAACGGGGGTGACCTTGATCAACATTTTCGAGCTGCTAAGTGTTTTCTGCACATCTTTCTCCATTCCCTCCAGAGCTGCTGCGTACAGTAAATTAGGAAATTATGCCGGAGCAGTCCGAGACTGTGAACGAGCCATAGGCATCGATCCAAACTACAGCAAGGCGTATGGCAGGATGGGGTAAGTGAGGGAGCTTCTGGTGCCAGAATTCTAATCTCGGAGTGCCTGGTGGCACTGATACCATCAGCGGTGCTCTGCCCTGGAATGCCGAGCACAAACACCTAGGGCTTCACCTCGGCGGGGGGTGGAGGAAGTCTGCGAGTGCTTATCTACCTCTGAAACCTTTTCTTCTATTTCCACTTCGACAGCTTGGCCCTCTCCAGTTTAAATAAACACACAGAAGCTGTTGTTTACTACAAAAAGGCCCTAGAGCTCGATCCAGACAACGACACATACAAATCAAACCTTAAAATAGCCGAACAGAAAATGAAGGAGACTCCGAGTCCAGTAAGTCCTGAGGCTAACACTTGCTGTATGTGGGTAAGATGAGAAGATTTCTGCCTTATGCTACTCCAAGTGCTAGCAGGCGCTGTCTGGCAGAGGCTTGATGATCTGGGTTGTGTTTAGAATACAAATCTTGCATGCGGGCAGAAGGGAGATGGTTAATGAGCGCTGCCGTGAACATTTCCACTAAAATCCAGAGAGAGAAACTGCTCTGCTCGAGCACAGTCACCTTGGGCTTGTTTGAGAGAGCTGGGAAATGAGACTGATTAGAAGGAGCGTTTGCAAGCAGCATTTTTTGCCTTAAGCACCTTTCTTAATTAAAGCCACTGCTCCTAAAATCCAGATTTTTTTTTTCTAGTGACCTGTTAGCAATACCAAAAGGACTTTTTTTTTCTTTTTTTTTCCCTTCCACAAGTTTTTTTGTTTTGTTGTTTTTTGTTTGTTTGTTTCTTTTGCTTTGTTTTTTGTTTGTTTTTTTTTTCATATGAAAAGAATCCTGGTGGTTTTCTAGTCACAAAGCCAGCAACCGCCCTGCTGACAGGCTCAGGACCGTGTTAATTCCCCGTTTTGAAGGGGCTTTCAGTCTTCTAAAGACTTCTCCAGCCCAAAGGTGACCGAGTGGATGTGTTTAGCTTGGCAGGCGTGATGGGGTCGAGCAGCCCAGCCCTGGCATGCCTCAGCTGGTGAGAGCGGCGCTCGGTAAATCATGCGGTGCCGTTACTGCTGCCACCAGCACGTGTCC